AGCTGGCCTGCCAAGCCACGTACGCCAGCTCTGGGCTCACGCTGTGCGGCTGGAGTCAGTGACAAACCCAGCTCTCCAGCCGCGCTGTTGGGGAGGAGCCCTGCTGCGAGCCAGGTCTGCTGCCTGCTGCACCACTCTCCTTGCCCCTGCCAACCCTTGGGTCTGGAAAGCCTCCTCCTGGTGTGCCCTCCCACGGCTTCGCCGCCGCCCGGCCTGCCGGCCCAGGGGGAAAGCTGCAGATGCGCTGGCAGCTGCCCAGCCCACCCCCAGCCACCTGCCCCATGAGACAGGGCAGAGGGGGACCCTCGGCAAGGCATTTGCAGCCTGAGACTGTAGGGGCAGGAAGCAGGAGAAGCCAGTGGCAGGGATTCTTCTGGGGCACGGATCTGGCATCTGCACGCGGCTTTCCGCTCCACAGACCCTGCAAGGCCTCCCTCTGGGGCCTGCCCAAGCGCTGGGCCCCTGCTCTTCCCACCCTACCCAGCTCCCCTGCATGCCCCAGAGGCGAGAGCCGCTTGGTCCCTCAGCCCGGATACAGAGCAGCGCAAGAGCTGGAGGAACCAGGGGATTCTTCTGGGGCACGGATCTGGCATCTGCACGCGGCTTTCCGCTCCACAGACCCTGCAAGGCCTCCCTCTGGGGCCTGCCCAAGCGCTGGGCCCCTGCTCTTCCCACCCTACCCAGCTCCCCTGCATGCCCCAGAGGCGAGAGCCGCTTGGTCCCTCAGCCCGGATACAGAGCAGCGCAAGAGCTGGAGGAACCAGGAGGCAGTTGGCTGAGCCTGGCAGGCCCATCTCTGCTCTCCTTGTCAGCCCAGGCACTGCTGCCCCATCTCCATTCTACAGAGCAGGGCCCAGGGCCGGATCCTGAGCCATCGCCGTCGGTGGGACGGGCTCCTGAGGGTGCGCTGAGGCAGACTCAGCCCCCTCCCTCGCAAGCACAGGCCCCCAGGCCGTGGGGGCGGCAAGGAGGCACCTGCTGTGTGGACACAGGGGCTGGGGGTTTAAAGCCTGCACTTGACGGCACCACGGCACGTCTCAGCACCTGTCCTGCAGGCCTGGAGCTGGGCGCGCCGTTCGACCCTCTGCCCCCCACGAGGCTGGAGACACAAGCTCTGCCCGGTGGGAAGCCCCACCTCCAAGGCTCCCCGTCTTACCCCCCCCCCCCCCGGATTCATTGCTTTTTACTTGTGTGTGGCCGGCGAGTGACGTTCCGGTGGGTCCGTGGCCCGGGACGCCCTGCCCAGGCAGCGTGCGTGAGAGAGGGAGGGAGGGAGGAGCTAGCGCTCAGAGCCAGGAGCAGCTTTCACGGGGGCTCTGCACAGGACCCAGCAGTAAGTTCTGAGCCCCGAGCACCACCTGCCCCGGGGCTGGGTGCCCCCTGGGAAGCAGGATGTCCCAGCGTGCAGCGTGCCCGTTGGGCAGAGGGGACAGGCTCAGCGGGCCCCCGGCCAAGCCTTGGCCTGCCCCACAACACGGCCATCTTTACCTGAGTTGTCCCTGATGGGCCTGCTGGTGATTCTGAGGAGCCCTGCGAATCCTCCCTCCTGGCCAGCTCCGGGGACAGGCCATCGTTGCTGCTGTCTTCTTCAAAGGCAAAAGCATCAGCTGGCTTAGAGAAGCTCCCCTGGGCACCTTCGCAAGTGAGACAAAGGCAACGGGTCAGGGGCACATGACCAGAGAGTCCGAGCAGCGTGTGCCATGACCCTTCGGCTTTACCACGCCACACAGCACCGGGCTGGTCCCATGCCTGCTCTGGTGGGGAGGGGGGGGGGAGAATTTTGATGGAAGGAGCAATAACCCCAGGAACGGTGCCCTGATTCTGTATGGGCATGTTGGCTGACCCCGGCACGGCACGTCGGCTAACCCCGGCACATCGCCTATCCCCAGCCCATCTCCTAACCCCGGCACGGCACGTCGGCTAACCCTGGCACATTGCCTATCCCCAGCCCGTCTCCTAACCCCGGAACGGCACGTCGGCTAACCCTGGCACATTGCCTAACCTTGGCACGTCAGCTAACCCCGGCACATTGGCTAACCTTGGCACGTCGGCTAACCCCGGCACATGGGCTAACCTTGGCACGTCAGCTAACCCCGGCACATTGGCTAACCCCGGCACATGGGCTAACCCTGGCACATTGGCTAACCTTGGCACGTCGGCTAACCCCGGCACATGGGCTAACCTTGGCACGTCAGCTAACCCCGGCACATGGGCTAACCTTGGCACGTCAGCTAACCCCGGCACATGGGCTAACCCTGGCACATTGGCTAACCTTGGCACGTCGGCTAACCCCGGCACATGGGCTAACCCTGGCACATTGGCTAACCTTGGCACGTCGGCTAACCCCGGCACATGGGCTAACCCTGGCACATTGGCTAACCTTGGCACGTCGGCTAACCCCGGCACATGGGCTAACCCTGGCACATTGGCTAACCTTGGCACGTCGGCTAACCCCGGCACATGGGCTAACCCTGGCACATTGGCTAACCTTGGCACGTCGGCTAACCCCGGCACATGGGCTAACCCTGGCACATTGGCTAACCTTGGCACGTCGGCTAACCCCGGCACATGGGCTAACCCTGGCACATTGGCTAACCTTGGCACGTCGGCTAACCCCGGCACATGGGCTAACCCTGGCACATTGGCTAACCTTGGCACGTCGGCTAACCCCGGCACATGGGCTAACCCTGGCACATTGGCTAACCTTGGCACGTCGGCTAACCCCGGCACATGGGCTAACCCTGGCACATTGGCTAACCTTGGCACGTCGGCTAACCCCGGCACATGGGCTAACCCTGGCACATTGGCTAACCTTGGCACGTCGGCTAACCCCGGCACATGGGCTAACCCTGGCACATTGGCTAACCTTGGCACGTCGGCTAACCCCGGCACATGGGCTAACCCTGGCACATTGGCTAACCTTGGCACGTCGGCTAACCCCGGCACATGGGCTAACCCTGGCACATTGGCTAACCTTGGCACGTCGGCTAACCCCGGCACATGGGCTAACCCTGGCACATTGGCTAACCTTGGCACGTCGGCTAACCCCGGCACATGGGCTAACCCTGGCACATTGGCTAACCTTGGCACGTCGGCTAACCCCGGCACATGGGCTAACCCTGGCACATTGGCTAACCTTGGCACGTCGGCTAACCCCGGCACATGGGCTAACCCTGGCACATTGGCTAACCTTGGCACGTCGGCTAACCCCGGCACATGGGCTAACCCTGGCACATTGGCTAACCTTGGCACGTCGGCTAACCCCGGCACATGGGCTAACCCTGGCACATTGGCTAACCTTGGCACGTCGGCTAACCCCGGCACATGGGCTAACCCTGGCACATTGGCTAACCTTGGCACGTCGGCTAACCCCGGCACATGGGCTAACCCTGGCACATTGGCTAACCTTGGCACGTCGGCTAACCCCGGCACATGGGCTAACCCTGGCACATTGGCTAACCTTGGCACGTCGGCTAACCCCGGCACATGGGCTAACCCTGGCACATTGGCTAACCTTGGCACGTCGGCTAACCCCGGCACATGGGCTAACCCTGGCACATTGGCTAACCTTGGCACGTCGGCTAACCCCGGCACATGGGCTAACCCTGGCACATTGGCTAACCTTGGCACGTCGGCTAACCCCGGCACATGGGCTAACCCTGGCACATTGGCTAACCTTGGCACGTCGGCTAACCCCGGCACATGGGCTAACCCTGGCACATTGGCTAACCTTGGCACGTCGGCTAACCCCGGCACATGGGCTAACCCTGGCACATTGGCTAACCTTGGCACGTCGGCTAACCCCGGCACATGGGCTAACCCTGGCACATTGGCTAACCTTGGCACGTCGGCTAACCCCGGCACATGGGCTAACCCTGGCACATTGGCTAACCTTGGCACGTCGGCTAACCCCGGCACATGGGCTAACCCTGGCACATTGGCTAACCTTGGCACGTCGGCTAACCCCGGCACATGGGCTAACCCTGGCACATTGGCTAACCTTGGCACGTCGGCTAACCCCGGCACATGGGCTAACCCTGGCACATTGGCTAACCTTGGCACGTCGGCTAACCCCGGCACATGGGCTAACCCTGGCACATTGGCTAACCTTGGCACGTCGGCTAACCCCGGCACATGGGCTAACCCTGGCACATTGGCTAACCTTGGCACGTCGGCTAACCCCGGCACATGGGCTAACCCTGGCACATTGGCTAACCTTGGCACGTCGGCTAACCCCGGCACATGGGCTAACCCTGGCACATTGGCTAACCTTGGCACGTCGGCTAACCCCGGCACATGGGCTAACCCTGGCACATTGGCTAACCTTGGCACGTCGGCTAACCCCGGCACATGGGCTAACCCTGGCACATTGGCTAACCTTGGCACGTCGGCTAACCCCGGCACATGGGCTAACCCTGGCACATTGGCTAACCTTGGCACGTCGGCTAACCCCGGCACATGGGCTAACCCTGGCACATTGGCTAACCTTGGCACGTCGGCTAACCCCGGCACATGGGCTAACCCTGGCACATTGGCTAACCTTGGCACGTCGGCTAACCCCGGCACATGGGCTAACCCTGGCACATTGGCTAACCTTGGCACGTCGGCTAACCCCGGCACATGGGCTAACCCTGGCACATTGGCTAACCTTGGCACGTCGGCTAACCCCGGCACATGGGCTAACCCTGGCACATTGGCTAACCTTGGCACGTCGGCTAACCCCGGCACATGGGCTAACCCTGGCACATTGGCTAACCTTGGCACGTCGGCTAACCCCGGCACATGGGCTAACCCTGGCACATTGGCTAACCTTGGCACGTCGGCTAACCCCGGCACATGGGCTAACCCTGGCACATTGGCTAACCTTGGCACGTCGGCTAACCCCGGCACATGGGCTAACCCTGGCACATTGGCTAACCTTGGCACGTCGGCTAACCCCGGCACATGGGCTAACCCTGGCACATTGGCTAACCTTGGCACGTCGGCTAACCCCGGCACATGGGCTAACCCTGGCACATTGGCTAACCTTGGCACGTCGGCTAACCCCGGCACATGGGCTAACCCTGGCACATTGGCTAACCTTGGCACGTCGGCTAACCCCGGCACATGGGCTAACCCTGGCACATTGGCTAACCTTGGCACGTCGGCTAACCCCGGCACATGGGCTAACCCTGGCACATTGGCTAACCTTGGCACGTCGGCTAACCCCGGCACATGGGCTAACCCTGGCACATTGGCTAACCTTGGCACGTCGGCTAACCCCGGCACATGGGCTAACCCTGGCACATTGGCTAACCTTGGCACGTCGGCTAACCCCGGCACATGGGCTAACCCTGGCACATTGGCTAACCTTGGCACGTCGGCTAACCCCGGCACATGGGCTAACCCTGGCACATTGGCTAACCTTGGCACGTCGGCTAACCCCGGCACATGGGCTAACCCTGGCACATTGGCTAACCTTGGCACGTCGGCTAACCCCGGCACATGGGCTAACCCTGGCACATTGGCTAACCTTGGCACGTCGGCTAACCCCGGCACATGGGCTAACCCTGGCACATTGGCTAACCTTGGCACGTCGGCTAACCCCGGCACATGGGCTAACCCTGGCACATTGGCTAACCTTGGCACGTCGGCTAACCCCGGCACATGGGCTAACCCTGGCACATTGGCTAACCTTGGCACGTCGGCTAACCCCGGCACATGGGCTAACCCTGGCACATTGGCTAACCTTGGCACGTCGGCTAACCCCGGCACATGGGCTAACCCTGGCACATTGGCTAACCTTGGCACGTCGGCTAACCCCGGCACATGGGCTAACCCTGGCACATTGGCTAACCTTGGCACGTCGGCTAACCCCGGCACATGGGCTAACCCTGGCACATTGGCTAACCTTGGCACGTCGGCTAACCCCGGCACATGGGCTAACCCTGGCACATTGGCTAACCTTGGCACGTCGGCTAACCCCGGCACATGGGCTAACCCTGGCACATTGGCTAACCTTGGCACGTCGGCTAACCCCGGCACATGGGCTAACCCTGGCACATTGGCTAACCTTGGCACGTCGGCTAACCCCGGCACATGGGCTAACCCTGGCACATTGGCTAACCTTGGCATTCCCCGCCTGGCTGCTCTCTCTGGGCGCTGCTGAGCTGCAGCCTGGAGGCCATTTGCCCCGGTGAGAGCAAGTGCAAAATGCCACTTTTCGGACTGGGGACCCTTCTCCATCCCCTTTGCGGAGGCAGGGGGCACCAGACCCGGCCAACACACCGCGGCCCACAGCCCCACCACAGGCGTTCTCATCCCCCCAGGCCTCCGGCCACTCTGGGCACGTCAGCACAAGCACAAGACCAGCCGGCCAGCCACACACACACCAGCTGGGCCCTGCTGCACCTGGCTGTCGCCTGAGCCTGGACTGGCCTGACCCCGCTGCCCAGGGAACTGACCCTGCTTGGGCTGCGGGAGGCGAAGCTGCCGGTGGAAGCTGTTCCTTCTCCTTGGTCCTTAGCCACAGGCGGGCTGGGCTGTGAGGCATGGGGGGTGGGGGGATGTGGAAAATAGGAGTCTCTTTCCAAGGCAGCTTGACGGGAGACATTGCTGGGAGCCAGCGTCAGCGTCCTGTCTCCTCCGGGAGCAGGGTGGGAGAAGAGCAGCCAGGCTGCCACTGGAGGCTGCTTGCAGTCAGTCCGATGAGCTAGTGTAGGGGCTGCTGTGGCTCCCCACTTCCTACCGGTCCCTTCCTGCAGACGCCTGCCTGAGTGCCCAGCCCCTGCCCCGCAGGCGCTGTCCATACACGCACCCACCTTTGATGGCTTCCTTCACAGCCGAGTCAACGGGAATAATATTCTTCTCCACCAGCTCCAAAGGGCCTGGCCTGAGAGCAATTTTTTCATTGAGATCATCTGCAAGTCGGGCTCTTTTCAGCTTCATCTGAGTAGCCTGAATGGACCCCTCTGCGGCTGATTCTAAAAGGCCAAAATGGAACAGGTCAGTTCCCAGCCCTGCTGGACCTGTGCTCTGGGTACAGAATGCTCAGCCAGCAAGAAATTCCCCTTCCGGGATCACGGCTACACCGAAGCGCATGGCCGGTGGAAGCGGTAAACAGAGAGAGAAGCCCCAGACAAGGACCAAGTGTCTCCACAGGCTTCCTTTGCCACGGTTTCCAGGGCGGGCATCTCCGTTCTCAACTAAAAGATTTCTCCCCGGAGGTTCCAGCCTTGCAGACTCAGCCTGGGACCGCGGAGTAACGCCGGGTCCTGTCTGATCAACAGTCGGCAATGAAACTTCATTGCAAGCCGTGGGTGCGGCAGGCGCAGAGGAGATTCCAGCCCCTCTCCCCGCACAGCGCGGGCTCTGCCGGCCCGACGGGAGCGAAATATTGCCGAAATATTCGAGTGCACAGAAAGAACCGGACTCTGCTCCTGGGGCTGTTTGTCCTCCCCTTACAATCCTCTCGGACGCGGCCACGCGCTGATTGACTGACGCTCACCCCACTGCCCAGGGCCTGCACCAATGAACCAGCCATCGCCTGCCCCTGCTCAATGGCTGTGCCAGGGCAGAGTGCTGTGGAGCGGCACCTAGCTCCCTGCCAGGGAACGTGAGGGCCCGTCACCCCTGCCTGGGACCTGCAGTTTCTTACTCCAGCTCATCTCCACGTCTTCCCATGCCCCTTCCTTCCTCCCCGCCCCACCGGAGCCTTTTGCGAGGGCTCCATGGGGCCTGGTCTCTGTGGGGGACAAGGAGGCAGGGATGGGGTGTCTGGAGTGAGACTAGGTTCCTGGCGCTTTGGGGCCAGCCCCCTGGGCTCCACAGCCGGCCATGGAGGCTGTTGGGAGAGACCAGGAGGAGGTGCCACAAGTCCCCTGCAGTTCTCATGGCCATCACACACCCAGTTCTCTCTGTCTGGAGACCAAACCCTTCTGCTGACCCTGGTGCCAAGCACTGTCAGTCCCGGGATGCGGAGCAGACAGACCGCAGGTCCGACGCCGGCTCTCGGGGCCTGCGAGGGCTGCACTGGGCACAGCATGAATCACCTGGTGCTGTGATCCTCTTACGTGGTCTGGTTGCCACCCGCATCCGGAGCCAAGTAACCCTGCAGGTTCATCTTGCAGGGAAACCGGGCCTGGGCCACAGGGGAGACGGAGCGTTAGAGGGTGTGCGAGGAACAGCTCGTTCAGCCTTACCTTGCAAAATGTGCATATTGACCAGGTCTGGATGCTCAGGCCTGCTCCGGGTCTTGTGCTTTAGGTAATCTTCAGTCTGCAGGACACAAGTGCAGAGAATATTAGACCACCAGCCCCAGCCAATACGTTCACCCTGCTGGTTTGGCTGCTCAGCTGCTGGAATTGTCGTCTTTTCGCAGGAAGAAAGGAAACCTGCTTTTCCACCGAGTGAGCGGCTAAGTGGTGCCAGGTACGGGCCAACACGGGGACAGAGACGTGCTGAGACACAGGGATGCCCTGACCGTTCAGCGATGGCCCAGGTGTGGGGCATGTCTCCTGATCAGCTGTTTGTCGGCTCAGCGCGGTAGCCATGTAAATTTAAATGAAGCGGCGATTATTTAAATCGCTGCTTGGTAGCCTAATCTACATGCCTCTGGCGACAGAGGCATGTAGTCTAGACGTACCCTAATATTCATCTGCCATTTTGTTGCCTAGTCACATGGTTTGGTGAGAGCCTTTTGAAGCTCTTCGCAGGCTGCTTTGGACTTAACTATCTCGAGCAGTTTAGTATCATCTGCAAATTTTGCCACCTCCCTGCTTATGCCTTTCTCCAAATCATTTATGAATATGTTGAACAGGATCAGTCCCATTTTGGACCCTCCAGGGGCACCACTCGTTATCCCTCCATTCTGAAAACTGACCAATTATTCCTGCCCTTTCTCTCCTGTCTGTTAATGTGTTCTCAGTCCATGAGAGGACTTTCCCGCTTATCCCTGACATCTCGCTCCGCTTAATCCCTAAGTCACATTTTACAAAGTCATCACCACGTCTCTCCCCAAACTCTCTTCTGCATGCAGTAAATTGCAGCCTGCTCCCAGCTAGACAGGTGCCAGCTTGCACATATTGCTCCTGACTAGCCAAGCATTTGGATCACACTATTACTTTTGCCATTCTGTCTCCCCCATTCCCGGTCTGTCCTGTGCTAACCTGCTCTTGCGCCTCCATGCTTCAGAGCACAGATTGTTTGATGTTAGGAAGAAACTTCCCCTGGTAAGTTATTCCATAATTGTCCTTCCTCTGCAGCCTCTGATGCAGATGACTGTGAGAGAAAACACACCAGAGCAGCTGGGTGGAGGATCCAACCACACCCAGATTCCAGTGCAGCCATGTTTCCTGGTGCCTTGTGCTGGCTCAAGCAGCATCTCCCTCCTTGGCGCTACTGACCCACCTCTTCCGCTATGTAGTGCCAGGAAGGGCCGAGAGGAGCCAGCGCTACAAGGAATGTGGAGTTTATGGGCTAGATGGGCCCAGGGGCTGTGGGCAGACCTCTCGATTCACTGTTCACTGTGGCTGTGTCTAGACTGCATCCCTTTTCCTTAAAAGAGATGCAAATTAGACACAGCGCAATTGCAAATGAAGCGGGGATTTAAATCCCCCCCGCTTCATTTGCATAAACATGGCTGCCGCTTTTTTCCGGCTCGGAGCTTTGCCGGAAAAAAGCGCCAGTCTAGACGCGGATCTTTCGGAAAATAAAGCCTTTTCCGAAAGATCCCTTATTCCTTTATAAGGCTTTATTTTCCGAAAGATCCGCGTCTAGACTGGTGCTTTTTTTCCGGCAAAGCTCCGAGCTGGAAAAAAGCGGCAGCCATGTTTATGCAAATGAAGTGGGGGGGATTTAAATCGGATTTTTACTGAAAAGGGATGCAGTCTAGACACAGCCACCGTGTGCAGTTCTGTGGGATCCTGTGCTCTGAAAGACCTCTGGGGTAACAGCTGGAGCTGCTGGATTCATTTAATGTAGCTAATTTCACATTCTAGGCTCCCAAAGAGAGAGATTCCTGACTCAGCCCTCTAATCTAGGGGTCTGTCCACAGCCCCTGGGCCTGCCCCGGGCGCGTGGCACCCCTTACCTCTTCAGTCAGGCGCCCCCCCATAGGTTGGCACCCTGGGCACCTGCCCGGCTAGCCCCCTCCCTTAATCCAGCCCTGAGCGGGAGAGGTGGGTCAGTGGCACAAAGGAGGGAGATGCTGCTTTTAGCATCAGTAGAAGCAGAAAATATTGGGACACTCAAAAGATGGCATTAGTATCAGGTTTCTAGACCCAGTTTGCAGAGCATGGAATTTGCAGAAGATTCAGGTAAACAGCCAAATGTCATCTGGTTACTGCCCTAACACAGGGTGACCCTAGAAACCGGAGGATATTTTTGCCATGCGTTGTGCTTTTTAGCATGCGTGGAGAACAAAGACATTTGGGGCACCCCACTCACAGCCCTTCCCCAAGGCAAGTAGCCAGAGGCAGTGGAAGTTTCTGGAGAATGAGACAGAGACATTCGTGAATACTTGAACAGTAAAATATGATACCTCAAGAATACTTTAAATTGCCTGAAAATTCCTGCACGTGCTAGTTTTTCATAGGGAGGTTTTGTTTCTACCTTAGTCCTTGATGATTGCATGAAACAAACACTCCTGTATTAGTTCACAGGATCACTCCTAAACATTTCAAGTTAATTCCTTCACATAACATGCCTGTTTACCGAGCTGTAAACAACTCTCTCGCAGAGTAACTGAATGAATTCCTATCTTCTGTTATGAACCAGCCAGGGCCAGCCCTATAAAACAAGATAGTCCCCTCCTGGTGTAGCCACGCTGCTATTATTGCTCTGTATGCGGCATGAACCAACTATTAATGGAGGTGACATGGGGAGAGACATGAGGGCAAAAGAGAAAACAAGGGTTGTTGGGGATTAGCTGGTTTTGGACTGATGCGACAGAATCAGCACACCAGAGGTTTGGTCTCTACTGTCAACATTGCAGGTATCTTATTTCTCACTGGTGAGATTTTTCTAACTGTTGTCTTGGTCTTTGTGCTTTGTGAGCTGGGCCCCAGGCAAACAGGAGCGGGATGTGAACCCTGGAAACCCTCCTAGGGTGTGTTTACACTTTGAGCTTGGGGTGTGATTGGCAGCCAGAGGAAATACCTCCGATTGAGCTAGCATGTTAAAAGTAGCACAAACAAAAGACAGGACTATGCAGCACTTTAAAGACTAACAAGATGGTTTATTAGGTGATCTTAGTCTTTAAAGTGCTGCACTGTCCTCTCTTTTGTTTTAGCAAGTCCAGACTAACTCGGCTGCATCTCTAGTACTAAAAGTAGCACAGTCGTGGCAACATGCATGGTGGAGGGGCTACCCGCCTGGAGTTCACGTCTATGGTCTCGGGTTGGGCGGCTAGCTCCTCGCCATGGCTGCCGCTGTTTATAGTACACTGCCCTCCTACCGAGGCGGAGCTGGGGCCGCAGTGTGCGCTGTGGGGGGCGTGGAAAGCCGACTTGGTTCCCTTGGCAGCGCTGAGAGGTGCCTGAGGCGGGCTCCGGAGCTGGGGCAGCGTGAGCAGAGCCCTCAGCTGCCAGAGGGGTTTGTGCTGCAGGGCCAGGCTGCCAAGCCAGAGGTTAGGGCTTGGCTGCCTGATGGCAAGTGTGACTTGTTTGGGAACAAGAAAGGGCATCTCAGTTCCTCCCTGGATCCTTGTTCAATATTCAGGGCTCCACCCCACTTCCCTTTCTGCCAAAGTCCTGCACTCCACAGGCACCCCCAGTCTACCTCCTGCCCCCCGTCCCTCTCAATCCCCCTCCCCCTATTTCTCTGACTCCCTATAGTTTCTTAGCCTGGTTCCTAACACCTTTTCCATTTCCATTCTCAGCACCTACACGCTTGCCTGGGCCCGGCCTGCCTCAGTCTGAGTAAGGGGCCTCGATCTTCCTTGCAAGCCACCTGGCTCCAGCCCCGCAGGTAAGCACGGGAAGCGTGGGCTGCCTTAGATGGGCAGTCACACGGTCAGACAGAAAGGAGAGGCGGCTGGGGATGACAAAAGGCACGGTGCTTTTCAGGGAAGGGTTTGCACCAGAATTGCATTCTGGTTTTGAGCAGCCGTAGAGCTGGGCCGGACAATTCAAAATGTAACACGCTGGAGAAAAGCCAGACGTGATTTGAATGGAAATTCTCTTGGAAAAGGTTTCCATCTTTCAGCCAGCTCTCCCGCCACAAACAGGCCATTCCCGACGGCAGCCTGGGGCTTCCGCCCCATTCACTGGAGTGGGAGAAGGATACGGGCAAACCCTCCTCCGACTGCAGGCGGAAATGAAAAATCTACGCAGGCCCCTAAAATGCCAAGTCCCGTGAGCCTGCAGTAACCCCCCCAGAGCTGGAAGAAAGAGGTATGTGTGTGTGTGTGTGTGTGTGTGTGTGTGTGGAAGGGCCATCCGGTTCATCCTGTGTGTGTGTGTGTGAGCAAGGGCCATCCGATTCATTCTGTGTGTGTGGAAGGGCCATCCGGTTCATTCTGTGTGTGTTTGTGTGTCTGCAAGGGCCATCCGGTTCATCGTGTGTGTGTGTGTGTGTGTGTGTGTGTGTGTGGAAGGGCCATCCGGTTCATCCTGTGTGTGTGTGTGTGAGCAAGGGCCATCCGATTCATTCTGTGTGTGTGGAAGGGCCATCCGGTTCATTCTGTGTGTGTGTGTGTGTGTGTGTGTGTGCAAGGGCCATCCGATTTCTAATAAGACATTGTGAAAAATATTGGATTTATTTTTACAAGTTAAAAGTGACCTTGCTGGCCTCATGAATGGATTCACTTCTCACAGTACCTCTTAAGGGCCTTAGGGTTATGGCGAACTCATAAAAATAAATCCAATATTTTCCCCTTGGCCATGTCATATCCAGTGCTGGAAATCAGCTGTGAGAAGTACTTGGGCTCCTACTTTCATTTAGTTTGACCTCCCATAATGAGAAGTACCCAGAGCTTAGTTGTGGTGGGCCATAGCATAATTCCAGTAATGGTTATATCTTGTATACAGTGGAGAAAAAGAAAAAGATCCAGAAAATAGAAAGCCGTTCAACCCTGTGCATTGCTGAGATGAGGTACAGTATCCAAGACAGAGAATAAATGTAGACAGTGAGAGGTCAAAAGAAAAATAGGAAGGGAAAAGACATGAGAACAGATACAATCAGAAAAGCAGGAGTGATTGTTTGCATGCCTATACACAGCACACACTGTATAAGAAAAAAATGTACACTCATCTAATGACTTCATGCATCCAGTCCCTTCATCATATGGGAGTTAGAGGCATCTAAGAAAATTACTTGGGGCCCAATTCTGCCCTAAATAAATGCTGCCTGTTCCATTTAACAGCTATTTAATTTAGGGCGTGTGTGTGTGTCTGTGTCTGTGTCTGCAAGGCTGCGTGCCTCTGCGCATGTGTCTGTGCGTGTGTGTGTGTCTGCGCGCGCGCGCGCGCGTGTGTGTATTTGTGTGTGTGGCTGCGTCTGCATGTGTGTGTGTGTCTGTGTGTGTGTATCTGTGTGCGTGGCTGTGTCTGCGTGTGTGTGTGTCTGTGTGTGTATCTGTGTGTGTGTCTGTGTGTGTGTGTATCTGTGTGCGTGGCTGTGTCTGCGTGTGTGTGTGTGTATCTGTGTGCGTGGCTTGTGCGTGTGCGCGCAAGGGCCATCCGGTTCATTCTGTGTGTGTGTGCGTGCGCAAGGGCCATCCAGTTCATCCTGTGTGTGTGTGTGCGCGCAAGGGCCATCCGGTTCATTCTGTGTGTGTGCGTGTGCGCGCGCGCAAGGGCCATCTGGTTCATTCTGCGTGTGTGTGTGTGTGCGTGCGCGCAAGGGCCATCTGGTTCATTCTGTTTGTGTGTGTGTGTGCGCGCAAGGGCCATCCGGTTCATTCTGTGCGTGTGTGTGTGTATGTGTGTGTGTCTCTGCAAGAGCCATGTGGTTCATTCTGCGTGTGTGTGTGTGTGTGTGTGTGTGTGTGTGTGTGTGTGTCTGTGTCTGTGTCTGTGTCTCTGCAAGGGCCATCTGGTTCATTCTGTGTGTGTATGTATGTGTGGGTGCGTGCGCGCGCACGTGTCTACAAGGGCCATCCAGTTAATTCTGTGGGTGGCTGGGGGGGCAGAGTTTCTACATGGGAGGTAGAATTAGGACTTGCAGGACTTGGCAGTGACGTGGGGCTCCCTGGGTGGGTCGGGGCCCTATTGTAGGGCCATACGCTGCAGCTCCTCTCCTGCTGGGCTGGAGCTAAGCCTGCTAAGGACTTGCGGAGAGCAGGGCTTTGCGGTGAGGGCAGCATCCGGGTAAGGGCTCTCCGGGCGCCGGGCTGGCTACGCCGGATTGCACGGGTGGCGTTTGTTACAGGTTTCCGTGGGGGGGAAGCCAGTGATGCCAAGAGCAACGTTGCCCGTCTCCACGCGCTGGTGCCCTGGCGTGAGCAGACCGGGGGCTGTAACAGTCCAGGCAAAGCCTGAATCCATTTCTGCAAATGTCTGCAAAGGAAAGGCAGCGGGGGGAGGGGCTGTCTGAAGGCCCTGGGGATGCCGGGGATCCTCTTTGCTACCCTGGAGGCCCTCCATGAGCTGCACCCCATGGCTGCCCCTGCTCTCCATTCACACGGGCAGCGTGCAGCCGCGGGCCACGCTGCGGCCAGGCAAGAAGCTGCGTTGGCGTCAGTGGAAGCAGGGTATTAGGCCCAACAGCTACAGTGCTGCTCTGTGCAGCCCCCGTCAGTGCCCCGACTCGGCGGAGAGCACACAACTCCCGTCCGACGCACGCGTGCAAGAAGTTACCTTGGCTCGCTCCGGGGTCTCCCTTTGCTCATGGAACGCAGGTGGGCTTTGCAGGGCTGCAAGAGGAGACAGAGGCACAGTCAGCAACGGGATCTGAACAGTAGCTACCCAGGAGCTCACCAGAGTCTCAGGGAGGCCGTGGCAGGGGAGCAGAGGTATGGAGAGCACCAGCCACAAGGCAGAGAGATGGCGCAGGCTGTGCAGCTTAGCGCTCCATAGGGAGCTCTTTGTGGGTCCCAGCACCAGGCCTCAGAGCAGAGTGGGGGGCAGAAAGCAAAGCGTCGGTGCCCACAGGAGCGGACCTCTTTACGGGACCCTGGCAGCAGGAGGCCCTGCAAGCGGCTCAGACGGCGAGGCCCCGTCCAGGGCACGTGGGAAAACAAAGGGATCGCGCCGTTCTTCGCTCGGGCTGCAAGCGTCGGTTAAACACGGGACTCAGCGGCTTCCATTGTGTGCTCCGCTCCCCTCCCCGCACACCAGCCACCCTCTGCTCCTCGGCAGCTCCCACCCTGCGGCCTTGCGGCTCCCTGCGGCTTCTCTCCAGCTCCCTGGGAAGGGCTCTGGGCAGCTGGGCTGTGGGCCTGGGGAGCCCTACGTGGGCACAGGACCCAGCCTGGGAGCCAAGGTGAGCAGAGACCCTCTTCCCACAGGCGCTTGGTTCCCCTCCAAGAGGGAGGCCAGGAGAAGGGCATCTCCCCAGTTCCATTTCCCCTGCCTCAGCTCGGCTGGGGGGTCCCTGTTGCACATGCTAAGGCCCACAGCTCTCCAGGCCTTACATACAGCTGGGGGAGTCACTCCTGAGAGCCAGTTTTGATTATTTCTGGGCACTTCCAAATGCCATTCAGCGCTAAGGGCTTTAGCATCATCTCGGTATCAGCTCCTGGGACTGGAGGGCACGGAGCCTGTTCCCAGTGCGGCATCTGGAGCCTGACGCCAAAGCTCAGCCAGAAGTTCGTGCTGTTTGGGGCTGAAAACCGAGGTTTCCAAAGTGCAGAGACCAAGGCAAGGCCACAGTTTCAGATTGTCCCCCATTGGCTGGGCATAGATGGAGCAAGAATCAGTCTTTTCGGGTCTGCAGGGAAATGACTCGGACATCTCCTGGGTTCCTGCACTGCAGGGAGGGGACATTCGAAAGGGAGGGGCTGAGGGGTCTGTTTCGTGTCGCTAGCGTGCTGCCCCGTCCTGGAGAGGAACAAACAAGGGGATAGAAATTCCTTTAGCACAGGGCTCAGACCTAGCACCCCAGAGTGTGGTAGTGAATGGGGAGCTTGAGCAGAGCAAATAAACGTGGGGGAAGAAGGGGGAAGCCAAAGGGAATTTGGGTGGTTTGGCTGGTGGAAGGGGATGGATCCAATGAAAAAGTGGGATGGACCTCAGCTAAGTTCAAAGGGCCAGGGAACCTTTTCCTAGTTCCAGCATTTCAAGTGCGGACAGACAGACAGACAGACATGCTCGTATGATTTTGGTGCCGTGCTGTGGTGAGCAGCCATGAGGACAGTGTTTTAGCCAAAAGCAAAATGAAACGAGTGAACAATACAACGAAGTAAGTCCGGGACGTTACTTTTGATAGCCCAGGTCGCTACCAAGTCCTAGTGTTATGAGGTTTCTCTGGGCAGCACCTGACCGGGTCACACTTCATGTCGTGCTATTCATAAGGAACGTGTTGCAGAATTTAGTCATTTACCAAGATTTTGGAGGAATTATGTGGCTGCCGCAGCTTGTATTAGTCTGCAAAACAAACAAGAGTATTGCTAGCGTTGGTTCTTCAGACACCACGTCGGGGCAGATCTGTGAGGGCTTGGAAGTGCAGGTGGCTTTGCAGAAGAGGGACGAAGCTGCCTTGCTTGACGCACCAATTGGAGGACTAGATTGTGCCTTCATGGCACAGCCCGGTGTTTGGGAGAGTCTGGGTGGCAGAATCGGGCAGAATTCTACTGGGGCACCTGGAATCAACCTCTTAGCAGCAGCTGGTCCAGCCCCAAGTGCAGTGCATGGCTAGCTCCTTCCCTGCCCTCCCCTTGGGCCAGCTGGCAGAGTCTGGCCGGTGGCTTGGGGCTGGCCCCTGTGCAGGTTGCTAGGGGAAGACTCCGTCCATTCTCGCCCCCTTTGGGTACACGCCCTTTGTGGAGCGAGACCCACGTGCCGTTTGGGAGCCTCCTGGCTTTCTGGCACATGCCTCCCTGCAGTTCCCCGGGGCAGTGTGCCTAGCGCAGGCCTGGAACACGTGCACCCGGGTGAGACGTTTGGTCAGCCCCTCCCCCCCGTGTCCTAGGTCTCCTGGTCGCTAGGGGCAGATTTGGCTCAGTTACCTTAGTGTGAGCCCAGAGCTCCCCTCACTGACTGCACCAAGGTTGAGTCTCTGCTCATGGTCATCTGTTGTGCTCTGAGCCAGGCTGAGCTGTGACCTGGCACCATCCTCAGCTAGGGGGAAGGGAGAGGCCTGTCTGTAAGCCTTCCTCTCTCTTCGGTCCCCGCCCACCCCGGAGGCTGCAAGGCCCTGGCGGTTGCCTCCCTCCATTGCCTCTGGAACTGATCGCAGACAGCATGAGGCTGTCCCCTCGTGGCACCGTCTGTGTATTTGTTTGAGGCTTTCACTTTAATGCTCTTTCAGTAAATGGTAACAGGACATTATAGGAATGGATCAGTTATAAGGATGGTCGGGGGGCGGGCGAATTCTTTGCAGAAGAATTATGCCAGCAGAAAATCTGGCTCGGGGATTTTAAATTACCCTTGTCCAAAATCCAGGACTGACAATGCCTGCTCTTGGGCAAGTTTCAGGCTTTAGGCCTGCTATCTCGTGTCTTCTTAACAGTGCTGGGTCTCAGAGAGGAGCTGTCTAATATCTGCCATATATGTGAGAGAGTTTGTCTGTCTGTCCGTGTGTCCATCTGCAAGTCCATTGGTTCAAGAACTCCTCCTAAACCTTAAGAGCTAGGACCACCAAATTTGGCATGCAACTTCCTCTTATAACTTAAAACAAGGTCAGATTTCGTTTGTGCCAGGACAATGGGATGTGCCTGGAATTCAGTAGTTTCTCATAAAATGGAAAGGAAGGGATCTGGTAGGAGAGACAGTTCTCCTGTAGATGGGCCACAAGGGGGAGCATGGGGACTGGGACAGCTCTAACCCCACTGGGCCAGCAGGGGTGGAGAATGGGACAGCTAGCTACTATATATTGTAGGGAGTTTGTCTGTTTGTCTGTCTGACTCCCACCCAGGGACATGCAGCCCTCTCCCGCTGGAGCTGCAGCAGCCACGGAGAGGCGCTTCTCACCTGGCCTCAAGCTGCTGCAGTGACAGAGGGCTGGGCTGTCCTCTCTCCCCGGGGCAGCCTGCACCTGAACCCGCCTCCCCCTCCCCACCCCGGTGAAGCGATTGAAATGAAGAAAAACAAAACGTATTTGAGTTAAGGCCCTGAGCAATGTCGAGGAGCAATCGTATCCAGCCTGCTGCCTTGTGGGTCCCAGCCCTTAGTAGCACGGCACCCAGGTTTAAAGAACAGCTTTTTGGTAGATTGTAGACCGCACGTTTTGGGCCTTCCAGCCCCACCTCATTCCACACTCACCTCAGTGTATGGAATGAGGGTCCATTCCATGTGCCCCTTCAGGAATTCAGTGTACACACGTGTGCTCAGTGCCAGCAGAACAGGGGGACACCACTAGGAACAGAGCCCTCTTGTTAGTGCACGCTCATTGTGCATGCACAACGCATGCGTTCAAACCCTCTGCAAGCTGCACTGGTGAACGGTGCAGCACCCCCTCGCTGTTACATGGCCTCTGTCTGCCCTGGTGCTGCTCAGAAATGGGCACGTTTGTATAACAGCAAAAGTGTCTTTTGTTGTCTTCATTCGCAAAAATGACTGAGCCATTTGAGCGCGCAGTCTCTCCCCACGTGGCCCCTGGGCGGGGCCTGCAAGACGCCAGCGCAGAAGGGGAGAGGGGGACAAAGCTCTAAGCCAGGGGAACAGGCCTGTGAAGTTTCTGCGCCAGAGCCGGTGCAATGCAGGCAGGCCCAGCCTCCGAGCAAGGCGAGTAAAGCGGATGCCTTGGACCCCGCACGTTCAGGGCCCCACACGGCCCAGCTCCTGGCCCCGCCCACCCAGCTGCTCACTCGCTGCCCTGATTGGTGAGCCACGTGGCCGTGCGGCTCAGCCAACCACAGCGTGGGCCCCGCGAGCTCGTTGGCCGGGCCCGAATGCAGGACTAGGTTCCAGTTTCTAAAGGGGCAGGTGCCCCATGCACTCATCCCATCAGGGGAGTTCTGTGCACAGACCTTTGTGTTCACGGAACACCAGCCTATGCACACGCACTGGGACGTTCTGCACGCTCCTCTTGAACGTGTCCCTTCACAACTGTGGGCCTTTCCTCTGAGAGGAGATATTCGAGGTGGCACAGCAAACTGGCACCGCCACCAGCTCTTGCAATTCTATCACAAGTCTGACAATGTCGGGGGCGTTTCTTACAACCCCAGGCTCTTGGATTTACATGTGAATCTCAATTTGCATTAAAAATAAGAAAGTCCAGACTTCCTGTTTTCTGAGCAACGCTTGAAGGTATGAACCTGCCAAGCTCAAACCCAGAGTGCAAATCAAAAGGACTCAATATTTATGATGCCAGCCTCATTCTTTGGGGCCTTACTCCTGAGTGCTGCCTGCCGGAGGGGCCATACCACGCCGACTGGCCTTTTGTTGCTAACAACACCGATTGCGGCCTCATGAGAGCAAGAGAATGAGAGCGAGCAGGCGGGGGAAGTGCTGGGAGATGGAGAGCGGAGAGCAGAGAGCAGAGACCGTAGTGCTCTCTTTGGCTGGGCCTGAGGGCCGTGAATGGGCGTCCATACCATAAAGCAGAGCAGCCAACACCAGAGCCAGAAGTGGATGAGCCTTGCGCAGCTGCAGTCCTTAGCGGGAGAGGACAGAGCCTTGACCGGGGCCATTCCGGCTCCTGTGCTCTGTGTCCGTGACAAGGCACACGGGAGGGCTGAGCTGGGCAGTGCAGGTGCCGCTTTCATTCTTGCCTTGCTAGCCCAGTGCTGTTGGCTTTGGCTTTGGGAAGCACGGGGCGACAGCCAGTGCTGCCTGGGTCCCACCAACGGCCCCTGGCGAGGAGGCCTGGGACTCAGAGCAGGGCAAAGCACCTGAGTGCCCCACGCTGGCCGGGGCCCAACGTGGATGGGCTTAGCTGGGGAGGCAGCACAGGGCTGGCTCTCGGGAGATGCACTGATTCTCCAGGCTGCCAGCTGGCCTCTGGCTACGAACCTGCTGGGGCCTTCGGGCTGCACCGGGGAAAGGGCTGGATGTGCATCCCATGAGGCAGCACAGTCCCTGCTGGCTCCCAGGCTGTACCTTGTGCAAGGCTCCGGGAAGCCAGCTCCTTGGTTTTATTGACTCCTGCCTCTGGGAAATGAAGCAGCTGGCTGAGCTGCCCGGCGCTGCCCTGGGACAGAGCAGCTTGAGATGTGGACAGAAACCCTGAGCACTTTCCCCGCCCGTTCCGGGAACTTCAGTCCAGCAGAAAATCCAGATAGATCCCTGCAACCTGCTATGGGCTTGCCAGCCTCTGGGCCTGAACGTGCCCGATAACGAGCAGGTCCAGGAGAGCCCTGGCATTTGGCAGGTTCAGAGGTGATACCGGACTCCAGCTCTGACCATGCAGCGACCTGCGTGGCCCAACTGCGCCTGAGCCGACACTGGAGACGTCGGACGGAACAGGAGGTGACCATGCGCAGCCAGAGAGCGGGACTTTCCAAAGGATGACGGTGAGCAGGCCAGGTCCTCAGCAGCGTACAGTGGAGCGGCTCCGCCGACAGCCCACTGTGACCCTCCAGACAGGGTGTAGTACAGCTAGGGCAGTGTGGAGGCAGCAGGGCGTACTCAGCCCAGCCTGCCGGCCAGGGGGGAGCATGGCACCCGGCCTGGGGGGAGCCTCTCAGGCAGCCGGTGGCTAGCGCAGCATGTGCAGGAAGAACTGGCAGCTTTGCTTTGGTTCGCTGGCTTGGGGCAGAGGGAGGGGGACCAGAGGCCCCGATTTTATAGGGACTGTCCTGCTATTCAGGCTTTGTCTGATATACGCCCTGCCCCGCGCCTCACATGGGCGCTCTGGTGACCCTGGAGAGTGGCAGGTGGGTACTCACGTGGCATGATGCCCTGGTCTGCCAGCTGCTCACGGGTTCGTCTCTGCTGGAGCCGTAACTGTAAAACTGAGAGAGAAGGAGCGTCAGGAAGAGATGGGCGCGTTGCCTGGGCAGGTCGTTCTCTGCAAACAGCCCCATAGCAGAGCATTCAGCGACACGCCCCTTTCTGCCACCGAGGGGGAGAGCCAGGCTTTCCCGTAGCCCCGGAAAAGAGGCACCCCCGGGATGGAGGGGTGTGCCAGGGAGCTCCTGCCAAGCTGTGGTCTGTTTGATTCAATAGCTGTGTCTGGAAGGCAGCGTCCCACTGGGGCCGAGCGACCAGCGGGAGAGAGGGCACAGACAGGGCCTCTTAGCTGATCCCCATTTAAAGAGCATGAAAACTCTCCAAATGGGCCAGCGGTGGACCAGATGCTGCAGGGAACCTGTCCCAGTGGTGTGCCAGGGAGCTCCTGCCAAGCTGTGGTCTGTTTGATTCAATAGCTGTGTCTGGAAGGCAGCGTCCCACTGGGGCCGAGCGACCAGCGGGAGAGAGGGCACAGACAGGGCCTCTTAGCTGATCCCCATTTAAAGAGCATGAAAACTCTCCAAATGGGCCAGCGGTGGACCAGATGCTGCAGGGAACCTGTCCCAGTTGTCCCATCAGTCGGGGGGGGAGGGGGGGGCTGCAAGGTTTCCATCACGTTGTGTCTGAAAGGAAGGGATGGGGCCGCCCTGGTGCCCCACCCCCGTGCAGGGAATGTGGGAGCCCCTCAAGCCCTGCTCGGGGCACAGAGGGGGCCTCTATTGAGAAGGGGAGCTCTCGTAGCACACGTGGAAGTGGGGCTGCCACCTGTCTATTCACACAAACCCAAGCACCCTTGCCCCGCCCCTGCCCTGAGGCCACACCCCTTCTCCACCCCTCTCTGAGGGCATGTCCCAGCTCACTCTGCCCCCCCCGTTTGATCACCCCCCGTCACTCACAGGCACTGATGGGGCAGAGGCTGGGATATAGGAGGGGGTGGAGGCTCCGAGTGGGGACAAGAGCTCTGGAGTGAGGAAGAGGGTTCCGGGCTGAGAATTCTGGGGCAGGGAATCAGAGTTCATGAGGGGGTGCAGACTCCGGGAGGGAGATTGGTGCAGAAGGGGGTTCAGGGCTGAGGCAGGAATTGAGGTGTGGGAGGCGGCTTGGGGCACAGGAGAGGGTGTGTAGGGTTGGCTCCAGGAAGAGGCTCAGGGCTGGGGCAGGAGGTTGGGGTGTGGACTCTGGGATGTTGGTGGATTGGGGGAGAGGCAGGAGATGCGCTATCTGGGGTGGGGAGACACAGGAGATGTGGGATCTGAGGTGGGAAGAGGCAGGAGGCGTGGTATCTGGGGTGGGGAGAGGCAGGAGGCGTGGTATCTGGGGTGGGGAGTGGCAGGAGACGCGGGATCTGGGGTGGGGAGTGGTAGGAGACGCGGGATCTGGGGTGGGGAGTGGTAGGAGACGCGGGATCTGGGGTGGGGAGTGGTAGGAGACGCGGGATCTGGGGTGGGGAGTGGTAGGAGACGCGGGATCTGGGGTGGGGAGTGGTAGGAGACGCGGGATCTGGGGTGGGGAGTGGTAGGAGACGCGGGATCTGGGGTGGGGAGTGGTAGGAGACGCGGGATCTGGGGTGGGGAGTGGTAGGAGACGCGGGATCTGGGGTGGGGAGTGGTAGGAGACGCGGGATCTGGGGTGGGGAGTGGTAGGAGACGCGGGATCTGGGGTGGGGAGTGGTAGGAGACGCGGGATCTGGGGTGGGGAGTGGTAGGAGACGCGGGATCTGGGGTGGGGAGTGGTAGGAGACGCGGGATCTGGGGTGGGGAGTGGTAGGAGACGCGGGATCTGGGGTGGGGAGTGGTAGGAGACGCGGGATCTGGGGTGGGGAGTGGTAGGAGACGCGGGATCTGGGGTGGGGAGTGGTAGGAGACGCGGGATCTGGGGTGGGGAGTGGTAGGAGACGCGGGATCTGGGGTGGGGAGTGGTAGGAGACGCGGGATCTGGGGTGGGGAGTGGTAGGAGACGCGGGATCTGGGGTGGGGAGTGGTAGGAGACGCGGGATCTGGGGTGGGGAGTGGTAGGAGACGCGGGATCTGGGGTGGGGAGTGGTAGGAGACGCGGGATCTGGGGTGGGGAGTGGTAGGAGACGCGGGATCTGGGGTGGGGAGTGGTAGGAGACGCGGGATCTGGGGTGGGGAGTGGTAGGAGACGCGGGATCTGGGGTGGGGAGTGGTAGGAGACGCGGGATCTGGGGTGGGGAGTGGTAGGAGACGCGGGATCTGGGGTGGGGAGTGGTAGGAGACGCGGGATCTGGGGTGGGGAGTGGTAGGAGACGCGGGATCTGGGGTGGGGAGTGGTAGGAGACGCGGGATCTGGGGTGGGGAGTGGTAGGAGACGCGGGATCTGGGGTGGGGAGTGGTAGGAGACGCGGGATCTGGGGTGGGGAGTGGTAGGAGACGCGGGATCTGGGGTGGGGAGTGGTAGGAGACGCGGGATCTGGGGTGGGGAGTGGTAGGAGACGCGGGATCTGGGGTGGGGAGTGGTAGGAGACGCGGGATCTGGGGTGGGGAGTGGTAGGAGACGCGGGATCTGGGGTGGGGAGTGGTAGGAGACGCGGGATCTGGGGTGGGGAGTGGTAGGAGACGCGGGATCTGGGGTGGGGAGTGGTAGGAGACGCGGGATCTGGGGTGGGGAGTGGTAGGAGACGCGGGATCTGGGGTGGGGAGTGGTAGGAGACGCGGGATCTGGGGTGGGGAGTGGTAGGAGACGCGGGATCTGGGGTGGGGAGTGGTAGGAGACGCGGGATCTGGGGTGGGGAGTGGTAGGAGACGCGGGATCTGGGGTGGGGAGAGGCAGGAGGCGTGGGATCTTATATTTAAGATGACTTTTGGAACAGGTCTATATGACATTCTCATAAAAACACTAGGGAAATGTGGTCTAGGTGTAATTACTATCAGGTGGGTCCATACACAACAAGCCAGCATTGGAGGTTCGCTCTCAAATTGGGAGGGTGTGACGTAGTGGGGGGACTTGCTGGGCTGTGGTGACCTCTGCTGTCTGGAGCAAGACCCAGCAGGGAAAACCTCACTATGCAAAGGTGATGCCAAACCTGTTGAACCAGATAAACCCCATGGAGAGGAACAAAGGAAGGGGGAGGCTGCCCTGGCTGGGGGGCAGGGCTGGAAGAGAGTTAGTTAGCGTGGCTGGCTGGGAGCATGGAGGAGACAGCCTAGGGAAAGGGCCCAGTCTTCCCCCATCTCAAGGGGGCCTGAGGCATCCTAGCCCAGCTCTGTGACCAGATTACATCTGTGCTGTGCTGTATCCTGGAGAGGCAATAAACAACCTCCATTACACCGGCTGGTGCAGTCTGTTTGTGCCATTTCGGGGTGCAGGAGACGGGGGTCCCCCAACGCGCCGTCACAGAGGGCATATCTAGCAGGGTCCTGCAGGGGTCAGTTCTGGGTCTGTTACTATTCAGTATAAAACTGCAACATAAGGACATGAAGCTGGAACGTGGTAATGTGGGTGTTAAAGGCAGAGAAAATTGGGGCTACTCAGTCCTGGGTTTAGAAGTAGCCATCCTTCTACAAAGGAAGGTCACCAGCCAGTTACAGAGAGAGGCTGCAGAACTGGTATTCGTCTACAGATTTGACACTGTCACCCTGGGCTTGCATAGAGAGAGGCATTAATTGGTTAATGCACTAACATGCCAATTTCCCTGCCTTTAACATTCACATTTCCACATCCAAAGCTATGAATGGGACACATCCAGCCCACTTAGACAGCTCCATTAACACAGATCCTACAATTGACAGAGAAATGCCTTTTGCTGTTCTATGTATCTTGGATTCTGTTATTTCCTCTCAACTCCTCTGAGGACGTGGGTTTTACCCACAAACGCTCATGATGCTATATATTTGGTGAGTCTCTAATGTGTCATTGTTTTAAAAGTTACAGACTAACACGGCTGCCCCTCTGATCCTTTGGGATTAGTGGAACCTCACATATGACTGAATTGGGTTTTCTGTGACCTTTCACTACTTCTCTGGGTGGAAGCCAAGGACTGTGTTTGGCTTCTGGTTAGCCAGTAGGTGCCGCAAAAGCCCTTTGGATACTGACTTGGTGAATCGAACTATAAAAATGAACCCCCTGTTTTCGGGGATTGTCTGCCTTGATTCTTGCAGTGTGCTTTAAGCATGGCATTCTCATTGTGGCCCGTCCGTGGCATCTGGCCACACTCACATCTCCCACAGGACGTTACATTTAATTACATTACTATTAATGAGTTATTCACCACTTGGAGCTCATGCTGTGCTCTGCTTACGACTAAAGTAAGAATTGCCTCTTCCCTTGTGGGTTGCATGATTTTGCTGCTCCAAAAAGCAGTCATTAATTGTGGCTAGACACTTGATTTCTGCATCTCAGCCTAAGGTGACAAGAACCACATCAAGATGGGAAGAGTTGACATCCCCAGCTCTTACTGAGTTTTCTATTTCTGTAATCTCTCTAATATCCCTGAGCATTTCACAGTCACTGTCACAAACT